ATATCTCCCAGGGCTGCCCTAATCCCAGGGCAACTCCTGGGAAAAATTAGACATTTCCAGGAGATCTCCTGGGACTCTTCCAACTCCCCTGGGAAACGGAAAAAACTCCTGGGATTCCCAGGGCTTGTTTTTACCGTGTGTGCACCGGAGGGGGAGCCGAAACTACTGGTCGGTCGCGGCAATGAAGCCGTCAGTGTGTCCGTGCTGAACATAACAACGCGAGCAGAGCGACCAGGGCGGACCGATCGGTCACCGGTCGCCCTCCGGGTCGCGCGGGCCCGGCTGGCCTCCCCTCGGCCGCCCCCTACGGCCACTACCTGGCGCCGGCCCACTACTTGGCCTACATGGCTGTGGCAGCCCGCACGGGAGTAATAAACCGAATAGCAAATTTCCCTTCCACCGCCCCCCTCCCCTCTTTTTCCGCTGACCATATTTTTTTCACTTTTGTTTTATTATCTTTCTCTCTCTTTTTTTTTAGTGCAACACGAGGGTCCAAATAATGCACTGCGAGTGAGGTGCGCGCGGTTAGGGGGTGGGGGGGAGAGCTGCACCGCGCAGTTTGTACATGTCTGTCAAACGGATCGGACACCGCCACCACCCCTCTCCTCTCACTCCCCGCGCCACCACACCGCAGGCCGCCACGCTACACAGCAGGGAAGACAAATTCCTCTATAATGCAGGCGCAGGCGGGCAGCGGCGGGCGCGCCAGTCAAGCCCAACGACCCCGGCAGCGAGCCCCGCCCCGCCCCGCCCCGCCCCGCCCCGCCACGCCACGCCACACCCCGCCCTGGCCCAACGCCCCCATAGCCTCGTCGATTACGTTGTTTTCATTCGGAAGGTCGGGGGAGATAGAGGGGTGGCGGCGGCACACGCTACCGGAAGTGACGCGCCCATTCCCGAATAACGCCCCGCCACGCCCCGCCCCGCCGCGGCGGCAAACATCAGAGCGCGCTGCAGACATCGGAACAAATCACGACGGCCCGCCCAGCCGGACTGATTCCCGAAGATGGCCTTCGTATTGTTCCTCATCCCGTCCTTGTCGCACTCAAATGGGGGACACCACCACGGAAGGGAGAGTGAGTGAGAGGGCACGACTATAAACACGCTGCTCTGCGCGGAAGCAGTCGTTGGCAGTGTGAGATTGTGTGTGAGTGATTGTGTGTGTGTGTGATTGTGTGTGTGTGCGTGTCCAGCCGTCCGGCAGCGAGAGTGCATCGGGTGAGCAAGCAGGTCCCAGAGCGCGGCGCGACGCCGCGGGGGTGCGCGCGCTAGGTCGGAGGCAGGGGTAGGGGCGAGAGGGGGATGCAGTCGGTCCCCGGGGGACCGCCGGCGCGTCCGGCAGCGGCGGCGGCCCGAACGGGAGCGTCCTCCCTCGGCCAGGAAACAATTTGTAGCGCACAGAGTACACTCGGGGTAATTACTCGTTACTCATTGCTCCTTGGCGGAGCGGGCGGATTTAATCAAAACCCTCCCCTCGCCCGTCTCGTCTCGAATCCTCCCCCCGTCCCGGTGCAGGACTCCCTGAGGATGAGGCAGGCCAGGCGCCGGCGGCCGCGGTGCAACGCAGCCAGCCGGGGTGAGGGAGAGCCCGGGCGATGGGGTGGAGAGAGGAGAGGGAGAGAGAGATAGGGGGGGGGGGGAGACCCCTTGCCCCGGGTTATTGAAACACAGTTGGCGCCCGATGAACCAAATGACCAGCCAGTGATTTCTGCTTTGATCAGCAGCAACACGCATACACTCTGCTCCAACAAACAAAAAGAAAAGAAACGCAATCTCCCTTTTTGTCTTCCAGCT